CACACGGGCATGGACGTCTTCTCCCACTGGTCTGTGGCTGCGGGGAAGCGGCTGGAAGCCATGCTGTCGCTCTCTGCACGGTGCTGCGCAACAGCAATGTGTGCTGCTGCTGTGTTTTTTTTTCAAAAATCCCTAATTCCGCCGCAAAAAAAAACGTTTCAATTTTTTTTGAGCAAAAAACAACCCTATATGAATTGGGGGTGATATCTCCCGTTTTGAGAGAACGTCGACAATCAGCTGTTTGTCAACACGTGCGTACCCGCCTTGGTTGGGCGATTCGGGGGATATGCCGAACGCGGCTCAATTCTTTTTCCTTGATTAGCTATGGCGTGACGAACGCAAGTTGGTTTCTTGGCTGGACCAGCTTGTAGCAGTAAACTGTTCGGTGTCGTCCGTGTGCGTACCTCTGCGTGCACGCACAAGTAGTAGTGTGTGTGGTGGTGCATGCAGACATTGGGTGCGGCGAGTCGAATAGCAGTGCGAGGCTACAGCAGTTGTAGTAGCCAAGCGCTAGCACAAGAATGTTTCGGGTGGGTGGGGTGCCGTTGACAGGACGGCAGTCTCGACGTGGGTAGAAAATTAAGGTTCCAGTACGTCGGTTCGTCTCGATGTCGTTTTTTTTTTGGCTTTCCAGTGGAGGCCGAAACATGGCGGCTTCAGCAACAACGTACGTACGTACTTCCGTAGGTTTGGCCTCACTGTTAGGATTTTTTTGCGGGGCTAGGATTCTAGGAATAGGGCCGAAACATGGAGCGCCTCGTCCGTGTGTTCGTATGCGTACGTACGGGCATGCCTTTGAGCTCCGTGCGTTGTTTTTTTTTATTGAGAGGCGATCGATTATTTGGAATATTAATAATATCCTGTGCCATTTACATGCATGTATCTTACAGGTAGACCCAGGTGTTGAGGAGGTGCTGTGAAGGCACAGACAGTTTATCCTAGCGGCCTGAACGATTTAAATCACGTCACAACGTTGGGAAAAACAAGAGAGAACGCTTGGTCATGTTTCTCTCGGAAAGGTCCTTGCGTACAACAGGAGGCGTTTTTTTTTTCTTTTATACCATGAGCGCGTGGTTCGTTGTGCCGCCAACACCCTTGTTCGCGGATGGCCAAGCGCTGTTAGTTTCGACCAAGGTCGAGCTTGTCACTGTGTTGAGTCGGCCATCCCATTAATAACCCACATTTTTTTTCTGCTCGACAACAAAGCAGCGGGAAGAAGTGCATGGGTTTCGGATACATTTCTCTTGACACGCTTTCTGGTCCATTTCATTTGAGGATACAGCATGTATGTGGAGGTCAGGATATATATGGAGATTCAGGGAGCACAGATACACGTACATAATGAGTAGGATCTGAGGGAATACACGTTCATAAAAAGGTGGGTGGGCCAAGAAACAATGCACTGTCTATCGAACTCGAAACTTCTGGCAATGCGTGGCGGAGGTGGCGCACCCGCACACACGCACAGAAGATTGTTGGAAAAAAGGTGGTTGTACTCGCCGCCAGCCGGTCGGGTTCCGGTTACCCCAAGAAGACTTCTCTTGCCTAGCAAACAAGAAGAAGCCTCGAAAAAGGGGGGGGTTATGTGGAGAACACCTTCATAAAGGTTGAAACTCCCCAGCGTCTGTCGAGGACGAAACCCTCTTTTCCACATGTAGTAGGGTAAGTTTGTCTGTGGCGACGGGAATCGACCGCGCCAAGTGTTTGTTCAGTACGAGCAGATGGAGGTACTGGGCAGAGTGGACAGAGAGATCGGGACGGTTTTTGATGTGAAGACAGTAACAAACAACGCGCGAACTAACGAGCTCTTTCTGATGCCTCGAGTGTGCCCCGTCGCGATCCCCACATCTATCTGACGCGCCCGCACGACGGAGCCAGCCGTGAGCGCCAACAAAAACCGCGGAGCGTGGGGGGGGAAGCGGTTCTTTAATCAACGGAATCGGGTGAATCGATAGATTGGTAGATGATATCATGAACAATGTCTGGGCGATATTCGTAAGCCAACAAGCCACTCACAATAGATAGTAACGGAACAAGTATTATAGTACAAGAAGTCGCAATGAACCATGCTTCTTTCGGCATTGGTGTAGACTGGTCAAATGAAAATGCCGATTCTGTCGTTGTTGAGGACGATGGACGGAGGACGGAGTCTTGTTGTGGGTGCCGATACATTTAACACACGAAGGTTTTTAGCAACGATGCCACAGAGCACAAACGACAACAACAACCAGCAGTTGCTTCAGGCACCCAACCCTTTTGGTGTCCGCCGAATCGGGTGTAGGACTGATGATTGATCATGTGTCGATCAATCATGTGTTTCCCCGGCAAGCAATACGATTTGGGCATCAGTTGAGCATCATCATCATCAGCACAGAAGCATCCCCGGCGATAAATACACACAAAAGCCAGGCTGCACGAAAAATAGCCGACAACCAACCGCCGTCCGTGCTGAAGGAAGGCATCAACACCACCAACAACCCAAACCGTATGCCCAGCTGCTACACACGGAGTACTACTTAGATAGCTGGCCACGCTGGAAGGCGGAGAACACGACAAAAACCTTGAACATCATTCCCCGCCGAGCCCGTCGCCACCCCGCTAAAAAGGGCAGGAAACACCAGCAGCAGCCCGCCGAGATATCGCAGTCGGCGGGTGCTAGATACTGCCGCCGAATCTCCCTCCCAGCTGTAACAAGGCCCCATTCCGCGTCCTACCGGGAGTGACGTCAGCACCGTCCGATTGCTCTCCGCAGGCTGCGTATATTCAGCTACCCTGTGTCCTGCCTGCCTGCCTGCTTGCCTGCCCACATGCAACAGCAAGCCCCTGTCCCCTCCCCCCCAGAAGGCTCGACAAATTTCCTCCTAAAAAAATCAATGTTACACTGCTGGTGTTCTCCCTGCAGAAGGAGAGCGAAGGAAGGGAATGGGTAGTTGAGGTGCCTGCCGGTGCTGATGACGTCACACGAACGTTCATGACGTCATCAGCAATGATGACGTCACACGAGTGGTAGATGACCTCACGAGAGCTGCCGGCCCGCTTTTCGCGACGCCCTGAACACGGCTGCGTCGACGAGCCCGACCTGGCCGCAAAAAGGAACGAGCACATGATATTGACGCACGAATCCGACACGTGGATTGAACTGCACATACAACAATGTCCGCGGCAGAGTCACAAGGGACAAAATTGAAGTGCGGCCGAGTGGGGAAGGAAGAGAGACTATAATAGATCACAGTCCCAACCAAACGCACAACAATTTCAACACGCGCACCCGGACTATTTTTGAGGCAAGGTTTGCATGAGATGTCCCACAACCCCCAGACCGATGCTTAACGCCTCCATCACTCCACGACGACGAGGATTCCAACATCAGCAGCACCAGACGCGATATTCTGGGAAGCCGTAAGAATTGAGTACGTTAGACTACTCCGCGAACACAAAATACTGTGAACGACAACAACTGCGCTCAGAACACGTACCTTCCCACAACAAGAACACCCATACTAGAACCGTGGCCAAACAACATGCGGGGACTAAAATGCGGTACACATAATGGATACATACGCATACGTATTCCCACAACACGGGGTGCTTTAATACCTGCCAACGACGCCCTGTGTCCTTCCCTACGGCCGTTCAAACGTTTGCAAGCAGCAACGCCAATATCAACACACAGCAATGTCTTGGCGGGGAACTCACCATGCTGAAGGTACCACCCACGATGGCCAGCACCTTGGTGACGAAGTCGTACCACGGGCGCTTCTCGCTTCTCACCAGCACCGACATGGGCGAGATGTTGTAAGAGAACCTCGCCTCGGGCACCTCTTCTTCGTCGTACAGCATCATCTGACACGGAAAAACACGAAACGCACGCCGGCACACAAACAAGGTTCAGGATTTGTAGAGAGCTTTATCCATGGCATTCTGGGCGGCGTGCCCCCGGGCATGTCGTCTTTTTCGTCATACTGCACCATATGCAGACAAGCGGAATGGCTTGTGGAGAGAATACGGAGAGCATTATTGGCACCTCTTTTGTGCCGAACAGCATAATCTGTAAACACACACACACACACACACACCGCCGCACTGAGACTGACGTCTTTTCATTGGTCAGCCGGTTAGCGCGGTCGATGCTAATAGTAAAAGCACACACACACACACACACACACACACACACACACAAGGGTTTGGTAGAGAGGTGTTACCATGACGTGACATGCTCTGGACGAATTTTGGCGTGTAGCCCCGGGCACCTCTTACTGCTTCTTCTTGGTCCAACAGAGTCATCCGAAAACACCCCCAAGGGTGTGTAGAGAGGGAAACATTTCATTCTGGACGACGACAATTCTTCGATTTCTGTCCCCCCGCTCCGGGGACCCTTGATTGACATTTACACGCTGACACTGACGTCCGTTCATTGGTGAACCGGTCAGACTACAAAGCGCAGTCGACAGTTCGCTGTACTTGAAGAGCGAGAGAGACGCACGGTCATTCAAACTGGAATTATCATCGGACTAGCCCATGCACAACATGTGAGGCTTTTTGACCAAACGAAGCCAAAACCGCGAGACCCGTCAGCACTGACTGCCACAACGATTTGTTTTCTGTTCCTAAAACTCTTGCCTATCCCACGCGTTCCGAGAACACCTGGTACTGCCTGCTGCGTTTGGAATGCAACCGGACTGGCTGACCTGGCTGTTGGCGACCATCTGGTAGCCATGCCATGGGGTCTTCATCGGGTTAAGGTGATACATCGACCCCACCACCTGAACAAAAACACGTTACAACGGCACGCCACCAATCGTTCTTGTCACAGCAAGAACCCAGGAGAAACACCTGACAACATTCTCCAGAGGATTCGATTACCACCATTCGCTCATTCAGGCTTAAGCATTGAGCACCATTCATCAAGGGAGCCTGCAGCATGACACAAAACAAACAAGAATCATCCGGATAGATAAACAAAAAGATGGGTGGCGGGCATTGAACCGGGGCTATCTTCCATCATCATCAGGCATCCCACCGTAACTCCTCCGATGTGCAAGGGCAAAATTCTACGTCATTTTCAACATATTTCCGCCTGAAAACTTAAAAAATCATTGACTATGGCAGTACCACGCAAATCGCGAGATGGGAACCTCGTTCGTTGCCAAGTAAAAACGACGTTCGACGACCAAAAAGAACAGCCTTCATTTCTTGCCGTGGGGCGTGAATTTCTGTTGCACTGGTTCCTAACTCTCGGGCATCAGAACTCCCCAAACCACCATCCCGACGTGTCGAGGAGTCTCGCTTCTCCGAGTATGTCAAGAAAATCCACATGAAAGAACTCCCCCCCCTTACTTGATTAAACTCAGAAGCGAATATCCCGAATAGACACCTCATAGCCCGAACAGCCTGAACACCCCGAATAGAAAACAATTAGACCGAGCAGTCTCTCTCTCACCCTGAGGTAGTGGTGGGGGGCCTGGTGGTACGCGTTGGCGATGTAGACGTTGCCGTCGAGAGGGGCATTCTGGCGAAGATCCTCGGTGAGACGGTTGATCTAAAAGACAGAAAAAAGGGGAGCAACAAGAAAGGACCCCACGAAAGCAACAAGGGGCTTACCCTAGTAAGAACGAAACGCGACAAGGTGTACCTAGCAAGCAGACAGCGGTAGCTAGCTCTGCGTGAAGAGCAGACAATGCACGCGAGACAGCAACAAATAACGAAAGGATAGAAAGATTCACACTAGACCAAAGGCGAGAGAATGTAGGAGCAGCACGGCAGCGGGTGACAAGCATCCTGCAACTCCAGGCCGCATCCCCAGGCCGCCCACACAGCACCACGTCAACCAGCAACCACGAAACGATGCAATAGTGATCAGTACCAATATTCACAGCTCTGGTTCGACGGTCGCAGCGAGACCGAAAGCAACGAAAAGGAGTATTCTCCATGGGCCTATGGGGGCGCGTACTAAACCTGTGTCCAAACCACAATCAAAGGTACCTTGGTCTGTGTCCGTCTAGGCGGGTCGTTCCCGAAGGACATGTGGTGCACGATGTGCGATAGGTTGGTCGTTGCCTAATCGCCATCATCGTGCAAGGACATGGGTGGGATCGCCGAAGAACCAGCAGAAGGTAACCGAACCAGCCCACGAACCGGAACACAAACGGCAGATCGGTGGCGACGATGACAGGACGGTGGAACACGGCGGGGGGTCATGAGCGTTTCCACGAGCACGACCGATGAAGACGAATACGATATCTCTGTCTGTCTCTGTCTGTCTCTCTGTCTGTCTGTCCATGTCTCCCTCTGTTTCTCTGTCTGTCTCTCCCTCTCTGATTGTCTCTTACTACCCCCCCCCCCCCCCCCCCCCCCCCCCCCCCCCCCCCCCCCCCCCCCCCCCC